GATGGATGAATTTAATACCTGAGATAAGTGTACGGGTTTTTATACGCGCAGTCTGGAAACCTTTCGATCGCACCTCGTACGTATAATGGAATATCAGTTAATAAAACAGCATTACATTTTATATTTTTTATCGTTTTAATTTGTTGAGGTTATACATTCACAGACTAATGCCTACGTCGGCTGTACAATTAATTTCTTTCAACAAAACGTTTCTTTTGGCGTTGCTATGGAAACAATACAGTTCATTACATTATGCTGGGTGGCAAAGCCGCTGATAATTCCTGTGATAAGTGATAGATAGCGGTAAGGTCAGTGACGTCATTAGTCGTTCCATGCTAATATTTCATGTGACCACTGGTAGGTGGCAGCACGGCTAATTCGTATGATCATTGATTCATATCACTGGTTTTGACGTCATCAGTCGTAGCCCATAATCATGGGTAATGTGTCATGGCGGAGGATGAGAATGAAAATCCTACCTCACGATTTTGAGCATCCGCCACGTTGGTGTTATGGAAAGTGAGAAATTAAAAAGTTGTAATTTGGAATAGCCTCCAGTGGCATAACGTTCACACCAAATTTTGTCGAAATCCGCTGAACCGTTCTCAGTTATATGGTAGAAAGTGAAGTTTAGATCTGGGCTGAAAGATGCGACGAACAGACGGACAGAGCAGACACGTGAGGTGTTCTTATCTTGCGGTAAATCATAAAGAACAGCTAAAAATATTACGTTTTGGACGTACGTGCTTCCTCCACCATTTCTGAGTTGTAAGAATAAGCCATTTTGACGCAGGAATTTGTTCCCGGATTGATACCAAGAAATGGATGGGCAGGGGATGTGACCCGCATGATAGAGATGATAAATGCATGAATATTTTGATAGATCACGCGTGAATAGACTGATAAATTTTCGACAGACCTCCGCTGACACAAGATAGAGACAATTGTTGATTAAAAATAACCTTTTTTGTGTTCCATAAATTCAAGTGTTTTTGACAAGGTTAGCTGAAAACAGGTTTCACGCAAGTCCTGCACTATGGAGTTAATTTATAATGCGATATTTCGTAAACGTGTCTCCAGACACTGCGGCCTTCAGAAATCAATATCGAGTCTGACTGCCTGGGGCGCCGAAGAAAGTGCGGCTTTGCCTTTGGAGTGATCGGATTGCACGCCCCGTATCTTAAAAAGCTTACCTCGTTGGTCCTCGTGCTTATTTATCTCGGCCAAACATTTGTTTTCTGCAAAGCTATCTGATAAAGAAATTATTTCCAATGCGAATGTATGTTTACTTTAGACTCCTACAATGTTTTTGAATTTGTGGAATAATTACTTGGATCAACTATGTTGGCTTAATATTGCCCAAGGAATGATACTGCTATAAAATGTACAGGGTGTGCCAGAGGAAACGCATGTTTTTCAAATAACAATAACTCAGTTGATTTTCAAGTTAAAAATTTTTTAATGACACAGAAAGAAAGGTTTTACAATGCAGTTTTTGTTGAACATTTTTTGAATTATTTCCGAAAAATAACGTACAAATACCATCTTTGAGAAATGTACTCTTTCTTAGTTTTTTGAATCAGCCACTGTTAAGTTTCTAGCTTGTCATTCTCATTCTTGTAATTATTTTACTGATCTAGAAATGTTATTAATGTTGATATAGGAAGGGGTGGATAAAACGTCTGTGCACACTAGAGGTATAACACGATCAAATTTTGAACCAGCTTTTTTTGTAATTCTATGAATATTTGCAATATCATCTCGTGCTGCTGTCTGAATACAAGTTTAAAGCTGTCAATTTTTTTCTCTCTCTGATAGCAGTTTGGCTGATCACGTGACAGACCCTGTCAGTAGTTCCAACTTTGTCGTTGCAGCGCTGCATGCAACTGATAGTTCCGAGGTATATTTGTTTCTTCTCTTTGTGCCTTTGACACACGTTTGTTGCAGTGTTCATTACATTGTTCCTGAAACCTGACTGATGCAAACGCCTCACTTCGTTTATGTTATGTATAAACAAAACTGGAAAATTTATAATATAAGTCTGTCAGCTTCTTTTCGCATGTGTTTCCCTTCTTGCTACTGAATATGCTGTGGTGATCGTTAGCTAACTACGTAGTTTTTTGATCGCAGTTTCTTTCCTTTGTACCAGGCTTGACATGTTCTTTTGTCTAAATATACTTCGCCTCACAAAAAAGTTGTCTTCCTTCAAATAATGTACTGCATATGTGCCGTTAATGCAGATTTGCACGTTGTAGTTTATATAAAATGGCATATACGCGTATCGTAACAATTCATCACATTTTGAAATCGATTGTAAATAGCGCTATCGACTTTAGAGTTGGCTGCCTCGGTGATTATGTAATCGGGGGATTCCCCACATGATGGATCGTGTGGTTTTGCTGTTGGATGCGGATTACTAACCCATTTGTTTCCGCCAGCTTAAATCCATTTGGCACTTTTTAACGCAAATTCTAGTGCAAAGTCCCAACATAACGTTTCACGAAAACCCGTTCAGCGCCTCTATAGTAGCCTGCGATCGGAAGGGGAGGGTATGACACATCGCGTCTTTAAACCTGTGGTTGCAAATGCTCCCAAGGTGAAAAGTTGAAGATGTCTTGTTTATAAGTGCTCAGATCTCTGCCTTGAATCAGAAAACGCATAAGGTATCATCTCATCGTTAGGCGTCCGCTGTATTCGCGCCATTTGAAGACTATGTGTAAATCGGCCGTACTTGCCCCACATTCCCCGAGCGGGACGGAGTTTCGTGCCTGAGCGTAGTGATAAACAGTTTATTCTATTGTGTCGACTTTTTAAGAATTGTGCAGGCTTGTAAATTTCGATGAATTTATTCTGCTCTTTGAACATTTCTTTAAACCACACCCCCTTGAAAAGAAATTTGTTTTTTTTCCATACAAATAACTAGTGGAATGTCTACTGAAGTACAGGTTTAGCGGTTGTTTAGAACAGTGGTATTCAACATTTTTTTGTTCGCGTACCCCCAGATATAATTTCTCTTCAACTTTGTACCCCCAAAGTCGTTGGTGTATAATTCAAGTTATACATAGTATATAATCTACATCTAAAATAAATTAAATAAATTACATTACTGATTATTCAGTGTTTATCATAAATAATATATATTTTTTTTAAATTTCACGTACCCCCAAAGATGTCTTCGCGTACCCCAGGTTGAATACCACTTGTTTAGAAGACGTACAACGCAGCGCCTTGCAGAAGCGTTGAAGACGGTCACCGGAAAGTTACGGAAGTGGTTGGTTCAATGCTCCGGAATTCCTACCTCCGGATTTGTGTGGACGTTGTCTTCGGTTTAAGCGGTAGGCTATCCCAGCTGCACACTGTTCTAAATCTGGAATACTAAACTTTTTGTTGTACATCTTGGAATTAGCTTGCATACATTTTTATTCAGTACGTAAAAACGAAACTGGATATTTTATTGCTGAAGTGTTACTCACGAAGACTCAAATATCGCTTTCGAAAATGTCCTTCTTTATGAGGAAATTAAGGTAGAGTTCCTGTCGTGAACATTTAATGACGTTTGAGACCTAGTGCGTAGTTTGCACAATGTCAGAAATAATGCCGCTGGTCGTCTTTAGATCTCGCTGTGGTAAGGTTGAGGTTTGTGCCAGTCCGTGGCTTGGGGTGACACGTCCGGATGCCATTAGGCGTTGTCGCCCGAAGGACACGCGGACAGCCAAAAGAACGGACATCATTTCCGATGCATACTGCGTGAAGATCTTTACCAAGACATTACTGCTTAGAGTCCTAGAATCGACCTCGTGTTAGGCACAAAATATTTGCTCAGATGTATTTGGAATTCCAAAAGATGTCGTATTGTTTTGGAACTGCTCGGAATTTCAGAATATTTTGAGAACTATGTGGTGACGGTAACTCGAAGGCATGTAGACTGTTACAAATTGAGGTATTTGTTCACCAGATGTTAAATACTTGTGGCAAACAAATCAGGAAGGATAAGGTTGGCGTCGGATAGTATAAAGGTAGGGAGATGTATGTAGATAGGATTTTGATCTGAAAGTCTGAATGAGAAGACCACGTGTAGACGTAGATTTACAGTTTATCGTAATAGAACAGAGAGTGACTGGTTACTGAACGCCGTTAGGTTCTCAAGGGCTCTGCCCCATGGAGTTGCTTGGTGTGATTTGCCCACAGGTTTATTTGAAATCCAAAAACACGTCAGAATGTTTAGATAAGCGAAGTTTAAATTCCACTGTTACGGGGATCTTATCACGCTTGCACAGAAAGCTTTTTGTCTTCAGACAACCTGGCAGGGCGTTGCGGTCCTCCCATTGATGATGGCGTTGAGCCGACGTCGCCAAGACTGTATTTGGCCTGCCTGAGAACTGAGGTTATGTTCGCTGTGTTGCAGCCTGTGACATGAACGTGCACAAGAGATGTGTCGAGACGGTGCCCAACCTGTGCGGCTGTGACCACACAGAGCGTCGGGGTCGCATTGAACTCAAGATTATCTGCGCTGGCAGCAAACTCACAGTCGAAGGTAAGACAGACGCTTTCATTGTTAGACTTCGTAAGGTACAGGCCTTTTTTTTAGTGTTCTGTCTGACGACAGGTCCATATGAACAGGATCCTTCCATCCTTTTCTCGGACTGGGACCTGTTCATATACGTTCTTGGCAGATGATCCAGAAGTGGTTTGCCATTGCCTTCTTCTGTGTGTGAATGGAGTAATTGTTGGGATGCCACGGAGGAAAACTCCGTGTTCCCTAGACCACGGCCTTGCCCAACACAAGTTATAAATTCGGGCACCGCCGGGAATCGAACCCGAGACCCCAGGATTACAAGGCCAGCCTTCTAACCGCTATACCACCGTGGCACGGTCCCCAGTTATACAGTCTCCTAATAGGGTTCCGCAGGATACATTGAATTAGCCAAAGTTATTCAATAATTCTGTGTGTATTGAACAGTATTCATCCTGAATAATAATTTAAATTTACGTCATATGAATGACGATAGAATATATCAGCTAAATGTAAATAAGTCATTCTGTCTTAAAAGAGTGATACAGGATTTACTTAAGTCGGATTTCACATTTCGCCTCAGATGGCCGTGCCATGTGACAAGGAACGTATTTGTAAAAAAAATACTGTTCTGTCTTCCCAGTGCGACTGACTTTCCAGCGTAAAGTAATTTATTCGGTTTCGTATATGTAACCTTTCCAGATGTTAAAGAATTCCGACTGAAATGTAATGAAAGTGGATTCTGCTCTCCTAGGTTATGGCGCCGTGTTCTGTTGTAGGCGGTTAAAAACGTTTTGGAGGAATGTATCCCTAATTGAGGTTAGCCTCTGTCTCTCAAAGATCAGTGTAATATTCCCACGCTGAGGTCTCAAATTGTCCCTTGCCTTGAAGTTCTCCCACTGAAAAACTGCACGCGTGTCTTATTTCTAACATCCATGTTTGCTACGTGCTACTCCTCCCAACCTCCTTGATTTAACGCGTCTCGTAATACTACGTACAGCTTAGTTCTGTGTTGTGCAGTTTTCTTTATATTGTCATCAGCAGTTTCGTCTGGAACGTTCCCATTAATCGTGTCCCCTGGCGCGCGGCAGACTGCACAGCTGTATCGACCTCGCTTACCTCCGAGTGTCCTGTTATATCGTAAGCAACGAGATCCCCCGAAGCTCGAAGCTGACGTACGAGCGGGATCTCGATATTCGCTACCTGTTCGCCAACTCTCGCCATTGTAGTCGATTTAATCGTACTGCATTTCCTCGAATGTACTGATTTGATATTCATTTACTGCAGATGGAAATGCGTTTATTGTTTTTCTTTTGTTTTATCAGTCTTGTGCAGAATTGAAAGGTAAATTTTGTGACGTAAATTTGGTAGGCTGTACAAAAATACAGATGCATTATATCCACTTGCATCAGGCCCATTATAATAGCAATAACAAGTGTAAAAACTTAGGAAGCGTTGATTATATCATTATCACATGATCTAATTTGCAATATTGTAATGTTTTGCTTTACGTCTAGAGCAGTGCTTGAGTACTGTTGTTGATTTTTAGCTTTGGCGCGATACGTCAGAGACAAGGACACTTCAAACACTTTCAGGGCTGCCAAGTCACGGGGTCTTCATTCCGCCTGAGCTGATAATGTGTGTTGTGTATCTTCAGAGTATTTAGTCCACTGTATGAGATTTTTGTTATGATGGTGAATTTATCTGCTTGTTTTAAAACGTTTTTTTTTTAAATCTTACGCCTGCCTATAGCGAACAGTAAATCTGTGCGAGGTTGACGAATATATTATTCGAGGAGGATTACAAACCTCATTTTTGAGAAGAACTTAACAGAATAACTGAAGGTAAAAGACAGGAGACCATTTTTACGTTTGCGTAACCAGAAGAGTGTATGTAAGGACACTTGCACTGGCATTTTTAGGTGTCGCTGATGATGAGTAGAATTTGGGTGGATTTTCAACCTCAGTAAGGTCACAGACTTGAATATTCCCAAGGTTGCTGTCTTCTGGGTTGTTGCGCCGTGTAGTCTGGTCGATGTTAACCAACGTTTCAGAGGTCATACTGCCTCGGTCATCAGAGTATGAAGATTTCTGTCTTCTGGGTTGTGGCGCCGTGTAGTCTTTTCGATGTTTACCAACATTTCAGAGGACATACTGCCTCCGTCATCAGGGCGATGAATGAGTATGAAGATTTCTGTCTTCTGGGTTGTGGCGCCGTGTAGTCTTTTCGATGTTTACCAACATTTCAGAGGACATACTGCCTCCGTCATCAGGGCGATGAATGAGTATGAAGATTTCTGTCTTCTGGGTTGTGGCGCCGTGTAGTCTTTTCGATGTTTACCAACATTTCAGAGGACATACTGCCTCCGTCATCAGGGCGATGAATGAGTATGAAGATTTCTGTCTTCTGGGTTGTGGCGCCGTGTAGTCTTTTCGATGTTTACCAACATTTCAGAGGACATACTGCCTCCGTCATCAGGGCGATGAATGAGTATGAAGATTTCTGTCTTCTGGGTTGTGGCGCCGTGTAGTCTTTTCGATGTTTACCAACATTTCAGAGGACATACTGCCTCCGTCATCAGGGCGATGAATGAGTATGAAGATTTCTGTCTTCTGGGTTGTGGCGCCGTGTAGTCTTTTCGATGTTTACCAACATTTCAGAGGACATACTGCCTCCGTCATCAGGGCGATGAATGAGTATGAAGATTTCTGTCTTCTGGGTTGTGGCGCCGTGTAGTCTTTTCGATGTTTACCAACATTTCAGAGGACATACTGCCTCCGTCATCAGGGCGATGAATGAGTATGAAGATTTCTGTCTTCTGGGTTGTGGCGCCGTGTAGTCTTTTCGATGTTTACCAACATTTCAGAGGACATACTGCCTCCGTCATCAGGGCGATGAATGAGTATGAAGATTTCTGTCTTCTGGGTTGTGGCGCCGTGTAGTCTTTTCGATGTTTACCAACATTTCAGAGGACATACTGCCTCCGTCATCAGGGCGATGAATGAGTATGAAGATTTCTGTCTTCTGGGTTGTGGCGCCGTGTAGTCTTTTCGATGTTTACCAACATTTCAGAGGACATACTGCCTCCGTCATCAGGGCGATGAATGAGTATGAAGATTTCTGTCTTCTGGGTTGTGGCGCCGTGTAGTCTTTTCGATGTTTACCAACATTTCAGAGGTCATATTGCCTCCGTCATGTGTTGGTCGTCATAGTGAGCGTCTGTCTCATTCACATTGGCAATGACAGCAAACACCACGTGAAGTTGTCGTCAGGACCAAGATTAAAATAGATCGATCATCTCGAAACTGATATCAGATTTACGCACCTCGTATCTTTCTCACATAAACCTAACATTCCAACTGTATACAAAAGGTTACAAGATCGAAAATGCGCGCTCTTTGGAGTACGCTGACATTCCGAAGGTGCCTTCAACGTCAGAACAAGAATTACCGTGATCCGAAGGCAGTGTCGCGACCTATACCATTATTGCAGTAATTATATTTACTTTGAAAGCTTCTTTTCCATTACATCACGAGTAACGCGGAAAAACTGCAGCGGGGTGATGTCACCACGAGAATGTTGCACTTAACAACAATTACATCACCAGCCACTCAGATCGGTACAAGATTCGAGAATCTCACACTCAGTAAACTGTTATAAAAAGAGACAAGAAAAACATAACGGACATGTTTTCATTTGCACTATAAAATGTTTCATCCTCATGGCTATCAATGTGCAAATATATCTCACGTATCCCACATGAAGATCCTCACACCCTCCGGGAGCAAAGCGTTCATGGCCCAAGCTAATAAATATCTGTATAATGTAAGACTTGAGGTTCTCACAGCGGTGAGTATGAAGATTTCTGCCTTCTGGGTTGTTGCGCTGTGTAGTCTGGTAGATGTTTACCAACGTTTCAGAGGTCATTCTGCCTCCGTCATCAGAGTATGAAGATTTCTGTCTTCTGGGTTGTTGCG